TGATATCCTCTTTACGGACGAAAAATTTTTCGATATTGAAGAGAAGTACAATAAACAGAATTATACAGTGTACGCTATGAGTTCTGAAGAAGTTGAAAATAAAGTTCCAAGGGTGCAACATGGACATCATCCATCATCAGTAATGGTTTGGTTGGGAGTGTCCTATTACGGGCTAACTGAGGTTAATTTTTTTCGAAAAGGGGGGTCAAAACCAGTGCTACAGTGTACCAAGAGACGGTTTTGTATCGCCTTGTCAAAGACATGTCCAGCACCCTTTTTGCGGGACATCACTTCGTGTTCCAGCAGGACTCTGCGTCTGCATACAAAGCCAAGACCACTAAAGCCTGGTTTGAGCGTCAAAACATCGTCTTAATTAGACATGAGGATTGGCCTTCCTCCAGTCCGGACCTTAATCCTTTGGACCAGAAATTATGACAGGGCTTAGAGAGGAAGGTCTGTGATAAACCTCATGAAAATTTGGAGAATCTGAAGTCATCTTTATAAAAACCAGTGACTGAAATCGACACGAATATGGTGCGTGCTGCGATAGACGACTGGCCGCGACGCTTAAGGGCCTGTATTAAAAATGAGGGAGGTTATTTCGAATATTTTTATGCTTTTTTTATTCCTTAATTAATGTACTAAGAATTGATATATCACTCATTACAAACTGATCAGTACTTTTGTTTTTATCATTATTTCCATTTATGACAGAACTTTGGGACCGACTACGTATATAAGTCCAATTTCAAGAGAATAGTTCACAAGTGTTACCCATAAGTAATTATTCCCATCTATGAATGTAGATTCACTTAAGATATGTTTTAAATCATTGTGTATAAAAATGGAAACACCTCCACCTGTTTTATCAGTTCTGAGGTTGTAATAGTGTGTATAACTATTAAGATGAAATGAACGAGCATGCTCTTCACTTTTAATCCAGGTCTCGGTTAACAATATAATATGTGTCTTGGGTTTAATACACTTCAGTAGGCATTTCAATTCATCAAATTTACCTGCACGACATATACTGCGAACATTTGCATAGAAAAAATTCATACGTGAGGTTGCAATTTGTAGATCTTGATAGTTGTATAGTAGGTCGTGTGTTACAAGTTTTTTTTTGTCAAAGCTTAATGTTTGGAGTTTTTTGATTTTTGATTTATTTTTATAATCGTTGGTATGCCTCTTATGTATTTTATAGTTAAGTCAGTCTCCCCACTTGTTTGACGACGAGCCAGTTCATCCTTTATGCAATTTAAATATTTCTGCTGAGATGGAGTTTGATCTGAGTAAATTTTAATTCCGGTAGGTAACTTACTTTTATTGCGTAATAGTGCTTTAGGTGTATCACAATCATTGAAGCAAATTTTTAGAGCACGGTTTCTATTAGAATCTTGTTTTCCGATACGAAAAATTTTGGCTGGCTTGCAGAGGTCCTTAGATATAGTAGATATTATTTTCCGAACTTCAGATTCATCCGGGTGACGCTGAGTATCAGTACTTGGTAATGGTCGTTCAGGCAGTCCTACCAGAATAATATTTTTCTCTCGGTTGTTGCGTTCAAATAATTCCTTTAAAATATTTTCTTGTTCTAATATCATCGATTGTGTACATACGGATGAATTTGCAGGTGTTTTTAACGTTATGATCTCGGATTCTAAGGACTTAATTTTTTGTTCGCCAAAAAGAAATTTTATTTTCAAGTTCTGAGATCTGAGATTTTATTGCAATTTGTTCGGTAGCTGCACCACTGGTAGTCGATTTTATAGATGCAATTTCATTTTTCAATTCCGTAATACTTTCACGCATAGCTGTCATATTTTGTTCGTTGGATCCAACAAATCTTTCCAACAGGTCAGTAATTCGTGATATCTCTTTTCGCATTTCCTGCACTTCTGTTTTGCAGTCACAGTCACGATCGGATGGTTGTTTCCTTTTGCGAAAGGTAATCTGGGCGTCACTTGCTTCGGTGGAAATCTTTGATAGATCCGGCTGAGAACTTCCTCTAATCGCATTATTGGGCGACCTTAAAACACTCATATCTATGAACAATTACTTGTAAATATGTTTTAAAGTCTTATTTATGCAGTTTGGTGTTTATATGCAATTTATGTAGATGTACGAACTTAATTATTTCATATCACTTAATGAAACAGCCGGTTTGAGTATCGCCGGTAAACAATTATGTGGCAAAGTATTATGCGATAACAAAGTACAGAGGTATCAGCGTAGTCGACCGCAATGATAGTGATATTTCAGTCCCACTAATGCACGTTGTATTCACTGTATGAATGGTGAGATGGTGTAGAAATCTAGTTGTCCTGCTTACACGGCTGAGCACAATCACGCGCAGTGCGTCATTTACGTGTTGGGTGTACGACACTAAAGGGCTTATAACTTACAGGGTTTGCCAGACGTAAAACCACTCTGTCACAACGATATAAGGATCACTTTAGAAAATCACAGTTAACTATTTTTCTAATAAAATTGAGCACACGTCCACTCTATTCAATAGCCGCACGACGACTTGCTTTCATATGTAAAAAGGAAGGAAACTTAAATAAAATATCACTAATGTCACTATTATCTGTGATAACAAGAGAAAGACTTCTCTAACTAACGCTATTTTAGGTTAACGCAATGCGCGGTCGTTGTTAAGGAAGTTGCTCTAGTGATGCTAACTTGGGGGTTTATCCACAAATTTGGGGAGATCACTATGTCCAAGAGGGTTTTATTAAGTATTTTTTTCTCTCTAATCGTGAGTTATGTTAACTAACATTAGTTAAGTTACATATATATTTTAAGTAAATATTTAGAAGCGTAAACCAAACATTATCGCACACTTGTAGCCAAAATGAGCCCTTTAGTTTTTCCCACACTCATAAATTGAAATATAACATTCTCGTTTCCGATAATTTCCAAAAGGTCGACTACACTTATATTGAAGTACAACTTAGATTTAAGAACCCTTAAATAAGCCAAGTTAGTTTTTTGTTAGCGTCGCAACTCTAAATTTTATGTTAGTTATAAGCTCATATTATAAACTAATAAAGTTAACACCCAGTACAAAGAGTCACATTGAACATCCTTCAAACGATCGCCACCGTACTTAATTCGTAGCTATAACCGAAATATAAAAATAATAATAAAGCTAAAATACTCTTAGATAGAAATATTATACTACTTAAATGTATGTTTAATACATATTTGAAATTACCTATCAAACCATCAAAAACTTTAGGGATTTTAATCGATATTTAGGTGTATTTGAAGTTGGTCCTAGTTCCTACTCCTAATGTTCCCCATCCCATAGGAGTTGGCATCACTGAGCTGTGCTTCAACTAGTTGTCGAAATAAAGTAAGCGCGATGCCATTATCTTGTAGCCGTAGCAAAATATCCATACAGGGATTTCTTATTATATTGTTGTTTAAAATAGTTTATTTTCCTTATTTTAGATGTATATATTATTATATGTATAAACTTTACCCTTGGGGCAAGCGACGTCTATATGTCGCAGCCAACTAGATTAATTAGCTTAAATAACGAAGAGTGATTCGAATCGTCGACGAGCATTCACTTTCTGAGCGGCTTGATCCATTGGCGTGGCGTAGAGATGTGGGATCTCTGTGCATCTTCTACCGCATTTACCATGGAGAGTGTTCAGAGGAGTTGTTCGGACTAATACCTGCAGCTGAGTTTCATCATCGGACGTCAAGGCAGAATACAAAATAGCATCCGTATCACCTTGACGTCCGTCGTTCCACAACTAAGCGATTCTTAAGGCAATTTCTGCCGTGCACCACCACTATGAGGAACCAGCTGCCCACTGAAGTATTTCCGAACCAATTTGACTAAGGGTCCTTCAAGAAAAGATCGTACCAATTCTTAAAAGGCCGGCAGCGCGCTTGCGAGCCTTCTGGCAGTGCGAGTGTCCATGGGCGGCGGTATCACTTAACATCAGATGAGCCTCCTGCCCGTCTGCCTTCTGTAACATAAAAAAAAGCCGTTAACTAGGCAAGTAATGAAACACCATCGATCCAAACCATTTGCCTAGCTGTTTGATCAACTGACTGAACATCTTTCAGGCCACTAGTTAAACGGCCCCGTTTAGTTAAAAGGCTAGGCTGTTAATTGAACGGCTAAGCTAGTTGGCTGCGACATATACTTTTGACTTGATGTACTATTTTGTACACAATGTTAGTAATTCTCGTTTACCTAATTATACCTCCTGAAATCGGTCACAACAACCACTTCTACCAAATAATCATAAAAGTTAATGTGACAGTTTAAAAACGAATAAAAAGTGGTAATAATATATCCCTGTTTCACCAAGGTCATAATATTTCCGTGAAAAGAGTGGTAATAGATTATTAGGTTCTAAACATACGTCAAAATGTACCGTCGTAATGTGTGGTTACTATGTCGTACACCATCAACTTTTTACTCTAAATACATAACAACAATTTTTAAATCGTCGTATAGGAAAAGAAATAGATTTCATTTGATATATGTAATGCACTTAGTATCCTAGTAATAATAGCATGCATTTTTTTTATTATTCCTGAGAAAAATGGATTTTTCTTATGCGACTTTATGCCCCGGGGCTAGCGATATGATAGTTATATATATACAAAAAATTAATTCAAACAATGCTCTATCAGCTAGTTGCTGATCAAGGTTTTAATTTTTGTGATACGTGAATCAGTTCCATGCAGGGGCTTCACCTCTTCACTCAAGTTTGTTTTCCTTATTAAACAGTATAAAGCATATTAAGTGTTTACTTGGGGAAATTAAAGGCCTCATTCGTCGCTTAAGAAACGTCGTAGTATACGTAGTATACAGGAGGTATTTGTTTAAAAAATTGATATTTGAAATAAGAATATTACAAACAATTGAAAGATAAAGAAATTGTTTAATCTAAAAATTTTAAACTATTATCTAGAGCTAGGCAATTAACTTGACAAGAAAAAAAAGGATATTATTTTTGTAAACATATTTAATTAATATCATAGCCATCAGTAGAGAAATAAAACACTCCTGTCGCATTACCAGGGTTCCAGAAACCGGCTATAGTTACTTCATTAGCTGCGCAAGAGCCATTCTTGAACAATTTGTACGAGTCACATTTCCACGCCAAAAACCAATTAGGATTACTGACAGTGGATGTCCAAATATCAATACAAGCTCTATGATTACATTTCGCTGCTTTTGAGGAGTCAAATATACCAGGAATCAAGGGTGTACTGCAGTGAGGTTGTGTGGAACCTTTTTTATTTATAAAGAAGTCTATATCACCCAAAACACTTGTTGTTCCTAATCCCCCTGCATTGCAATGGTATACCTCTACGTATTCCGCTACTCCAGATCGTATTTGCTCTTCAATTAAACTATTTGAGAAGCAAGGTCCAGCAGGATCTAATGCTGTAATTCTTGCTATTTTATTGCCTGTATTTTTGAAGAATGTATCACCGGTGTGTGCCAAGGCTTGCGCGCCTAAACTATGTCCTATACAGTGTATGTTTTTGCCTGATATTCCATTATTAGCCAATTCAGTCAACATATCTCCTACAGCTTTACCGATATAGTGAACGTATTTTACAGATCGCTCGTAACTCTTAATGTTACCTTGTCTGTTATTAGTGTATGGAGAATGATCTAGAATGATTAAGTAACTGTTCGGATAGTTTCTGAACGTGTCTCTTACACGTTCCTCGGTCTTCTTGTTTATGTTTGATTTGTAACCGGCAACGAAGACGATGAATTTCTTAGTTTTGTCCAGTTCCTTGTAGGCAAGGATTCCTTTGGCTGCATCGTTTATGTGGAATGTTTCGACCTCGTTTCTCGGCAAATCGTAGAAGTACACGTCGGTTTCACTGACGTCAAGATTCAGCGTTTTGTCGTGATCACCTGCAATTGACAATTTCGTTTATTGGACTAGATTAACTACGATAGGATAATAACCGTATTGAATTACTTGAAGGCGTTTTTTAAATAGGATAATTGAAGGTGCTCTTTAAAAATATTAATGAATGTACAGAGAATAAAGCTACCGATGAAAAAATGTTGGTATCAGTTTGGTTACAAAATAATCCGACACCTATGCCGACATTATGCCCGATGCCTCATAGTGACGTCACGGGACTTAGAAGCAAAACTAATATAGCGAGCATTATAAAACTATTTTACTCTTTCTATTTACTGACGTATTTCCCCTTAAAACAGACTCCGGCTGGTATCTAATAATATTTATACACATTGAATAGAACATGAACCGTGTCAAGAAGTGTTGGTCAATATATTGGTTTGTAGCTCTGAATATATTATGTTTTGTCTTGCAAATCGTGGTTTATGCGCTTTGAAGGACACATAAATTAGTCCATTACGTCATGTTAGAAAAGCCTTAATGTTTATTTTATTTATACTCTGAAACATCACCAGTTTATAACGAGGACAATCAAACACTTATAAAATGTTTATATGAGAAATATACACGAGTAAAAATCAAATCATGCAGAACGCAGGGGCCGCCAAGCGTCCGCGAATATTCAAAAAACAATGTAAATTCATCAATAGCAATTATATAGGGATATACAAAATAAAAATAAAATATTTAAAAATGCAAGGTTGCTAAACAACTACGTATATGAGCGTTTTGGTTAAATTCTATATGATTTACGGTTCTTGGGTCATCGGGGTGCTTCAAATAATAAAGGATTTTATTTTTATACTATATTAACCACTCGCGTACCTACAACAATAGAATAGAAGCGAAATATGTAATGAAATGTTAATTGCTATGTAATTGTTGAAGAGAGTGCCTACGTCTGGCTTTACTCTCGGGGTGTAACTACCATGATTTAGTTAATTGCTATGAAACGAATGATTGCAATAACAGTTGAAGAGAGTGCTTACGTCTGGCTATACTTTTGGGGTGTAACTCCCATGTTTTGTTAATTGCTATGAAACGAATGATTGCAATAACAGTTGAATACAGTGCTTACGTCTGGCTATACTTTTGGGGTGTAATGTATACATGTGAGATGTTTAGTTAATTGCTATTAAACGAATTAATGCAATGTTAAAGTTGAAGAGAGTGCCTATGTCTGGCTCGCTCTAATCGCCACGCTTATAAATCTAAGAAAGCCTGAGTGAGCAAAATGTACAGCCTTCTCTTACAATGATCATGAGTTTTTTTTAAGAAATATTTTATAATTTTGTCAAAATAGTTGAGTTATTTAACAGGTGCTATGATTGTACCTACTATCATATTTTTTTAAAATTTTTTAGTATGCTCTGCTTTTTGGTTGGGACTATTTTTAGACAAGAAATCAACAGTTAAAATACATCCCCCAAATAAGCGTAATTGAAGTTTGTGACTGTATGCTTAGTTTGGATATAAGTTAAACAGCGTTAGTCCAGACTGTCAACCACGACGCGCGGTCGTGCACCAATAGAGTTTTCATTCTATGTACGCATTTAATACTTTCTCGCTGTGATGTTTAATATTGAAAGGAAAATCGTCGGCTTTTCGTAAAAACTTTTTACTTTACGAAAGTCTAAAAAAAATATCAAAGAAACAAATGCGATGCGGCCTAAGTATAGGGTTGTAATATTATTATACCAATATATTAGAAGACCCATGCGACTTCTTCAATACAAATAATCCCTCTGAGGTGTGTGCTGTGGCCCGCAATGGGCCTCGATTGTGAGGAAGTTGGATTGCTTGCGCTTGCTTCTCATGTCAATTTCACACGTGTATATCCTTTCTTTAATGTTTTAATTGTCTCTGATCTCATTTTACCATATGTGATGTTTGAGAGCAAAAGAAATTTGTTTGTTTTCATTTATACAATGACGTCATATTTCAACGGAAATTTAAATATCATATTGAGGTAAAAGAAGATTGACCCATTTATCTTAGTCAGACATTGATAAGATAACAAAAAAATAACATTTTTCGGTATAGTTTGAAATGCGATTCGATCCTTTGCAATAATTTATGTATATTTAATTTTAAACGACTTCAAAAATAGCCAAATTACAGCTTCAATTCGTCTTTTAATTTTTAATATATATATAATTATAAATTAAAACTGTTTTTTAACATCTAGAACGAACATCAATGTTGGCTACGACTAAGAAGACCAAAACATGAGCACGCATTTATGATCAACATTGTAATAAGTAAACGCGTTTAAAACGCAAAAACTGTAGATTTAAATTGTGTTCTTATGGTAGGAGAAAAATTTAAAACTAGTTACTTAAGTAAGCCTTATAAGTTGTCACAAGGTTCCCACAAGGTAACTGCGATCGTAATCGGATCGATAATATTAATCTCTTTACGAAAATCTCCGTTTAATTTCCGACGCTCCGGCGTCACAATGATCTGCCCCAAAAAATTTAATTTAACCATGTCCCGCATTTCAGTTGTCACGAGTAATATAGCCTTCCTCGACACAAAAATATTTTCTCAATTTAATTCAGTTCCAAAAATACAACTTTATAAGACACTCTTATGTATATGTTTCAATTTAATTTTTTTTAACTGTTTGTGAAAGTATTAATTTCTCTGGAGTAGGTCAATATTGTATTGCATTTATCACTATCGAAATAGCTGATCTGCCTTAAAAATTTTACCAGCGATGTCTGTTATTATACATATTTATTAATTTAAATATGTACATGCATACTTTATACACAGTACACATGCTACTTCAGTATTTCATACGAAGCACAATACTTACATTTTATCAAATTAGAATGTAACGCGATTTGAAAAGGTCCATACTTCTCCAAGTCACCACGTCCCCACGTGTACGCGTGTGAAAATAAACACATAAACAAACACGCAAACTTAAACATTATAACACAAGTATTCGCTACTCAGAATAGAATCGGACTGAGATCGTGAACGAGTGAGTGTAGGTCATTCACAGATCATGATTCATTCAGTTAGTATCACGTCACCGATAAAGGTACTTCACTCAGGTAAACAAAGGCGGTAAATAATGAAATAACTGTAATTAATTGTGTTTGATTGAATTGTAATATTGTTCCTATAGGATTAATTGGGTCTTATGAATTTTTGTACGATAATGGTATACCATTAAAAAAAAAATATTATTAATTTATATAAAAAAAATATATAAATATTATAAATATTATTAATAAGCCTTAAATTAAGCCTTAAATCTTTACAAAATATTTGTTTTCTTTTTTGGAGTAGGTCTATCCGCCTAAAAAGTATAGGCCTCCTCCAACAGGCTTCATCTCTCTCTATCTTGAGCATGTTTCTGCAAATCTTCCCCAACTTCTTAAGCTTATCAGCCCACCGTGCTAGAAGGCGACCTCTCTTTCTTATCCCTATTTGTCCATGCGAGCGTTGTAGCCCGCCCATTTCCACTTAAGTTTTTTACAATGGGATAGTGCATCAATAGTTTTTGTTTTCTTTTTTATTTCCTTATTTCTGTTCTTCTTTTTACCACAGCCCGAATAATCCATGATTATCATTTATCTATAGACATTTTTATTTTATAATCGTAGACAAAAAGGCGATCATTCTTCTGTGTCTGACACGTGTCTTCGATTCTTCGACCTGACGTGCCGAGAGAAAATTCTAATTCGCTTGTAGAAAGAAAATTCTACTGGTGTACAGCCGTTTTCTTCACACTTCACATTTAGGAAGACGTTCGCACGCTTAATCCGCTAGACCAACACTGTTCTTCTCGTCTAGAATGATTAACGGTATGTATTGTTAATAAAAACTTAATTTAAGTAAGTTAAATTAACGTAAGTTAAGCATTATTAATATTAATAATGAAGTGCTTTAAAGTCCTAGGCCATATGTTGTCTATGAGTAACTTATGTAAGCAAATTAAATTCAAAACGAATTTCAGGTTGTCTAAGTAATATATAGGTACATTATTTTTTAATTGAGACAAAGTATAGTGACGATGATTCGGAAGTTGCACTGGAGAGCAGTGTTGGCCTAGGGCCATCAGCGTGTGACTCTCATCCCTGAGGTCGCAGGCTCCAATAGATTTCTGTCTATGTGCGCATTTAACACTAGCCCGTACGGTGAAGGAAAACATCGATAAGACCGAAATAGTGGATGCCGTGTTTCAGGCAGAAGGCTGATCACCTATTTGTCTATTTAGAAAAACTAATCACGAACCGAAGAAATCCGAGGCCCAGAACTAAAAGGTTGTAGCGCCATTGGTTTATTATCTGGTTAAACATACCCAAACATAGTTATACAGTATTATAAGAAGTATTATTGGATAATCCGAAAAAAACAAACTAAGTATATGAATATGAGATTGTTGGTATAATAATAATAAGGTCTTTATTCGGATAATAAAGTATTCACAATATTAGCTGTTATACCAGCCCCACATGAGTGAGTAATAACTTTATAATAATCTTAGCGACTGATCTAATATTAGCATTGATAAACAGTGTACATACATAACTCAAGATGTTTGACGTAATATATTGTGTTATTATTTACTGTATGTACCAATTATATGACGGAATACTACTTTAGTTTATATTAGGTCCTTACATATGAAATGTGTGTTTTGTAAACCAAAAAAAATTTAAACGGGAAAATGAAATGAATCATGGTTTTCGAAAAACAAATGCACGAGTAAATAGCTGTAAAAATTGAATTTGGAATCGTAACCAAAGAGGAGATATTTGAAGTCACAGTGGCCAGGACAACAAAACGTCAATTTCATATGTAATAACCTAATATTATATTCGTTGTCATATTAATAAAGAAATATTAGACAATTGTCGGGGTATACAGCCTTAAGGTGCGCTTACATGGGCAACTAAAATTGCTCAATTCCAGTCAATACTCGTCAACTATGACGTCACGACCTCATCAAGCAATTTACGGCAACGGCAACAAGCATCAATACTGCGCAATACAATATTGAGCGATATGGCGCAACTTCATCAACTAGGCAATACTGTCCTAGACGAGCATTTCAGTATTCGCTCGCTATGGACGACATTGTTCTTGCTGCGGCGGCTTGCAGCGCTTTTTTTATTATTTATCAAAAACAAAAAAGAAAGAAAAGGATTAGGCGTATCTGGGTGCGATCGTTTTTGGCAAAGAGGCTGCAATTTTCATTGTGTTAAGAATTAGATGATATATATTTCGCAAAATTTACTAAAATGTCATGAACAGACTTTGAATTACTTTTGAATAAAGTAATTACAAATTATTATTATTTAGACCTCTCGCTCTCCCCGCGGAAGCAAGAAGACAAGCCGCAAAACAAACAAGTGCGAAAGAGATATATACAAAAATTGCTAGGAATTTCCAAGTCCACTGGATATTCGTCAATTTGTATCTGCGACATTGAGCGATATGAAATATCTAGAGCAATTAATATCGCCGAAATAATTTATTGAATTTATTGAAATTGCTCCAGATCGGTCCATTCGTGTCGCCGAGCAATTATTGCCCTCGTGTAAGCGCACCTTTAGTACAGTAGTTTAGGTCAACCTATGAAGTCGGACTTCCGTTAATAAACCGGTCAAGGATTTGCGTGTGTTCAAGTTCATTAGAACATGCGAAATTAATAATTTATTAAGATTTATTTAACAATCGACTTATAAAAAGGAAATAAGCGTTTTGAGCTGCATGTGGGAATAAAAAATGACGATCTATTTAAATTAACATTTTTTTTAATGAAATATTTCGAAATCAGCATCAAAATGACTTTTGGAGATGGTTATTTTGATTTTATCAAGTACATCGAACGTAGGGAACGACGAAGACAGTCTCAATAAAATAAGATCAGTAGTTTGACATATTCAAGCATTTCTGGAGAGGACATACATATATGTTATTTCTCATCAGTTACGGGTATTTGAAGTCAGTTAATTTTTTTTACTGATTAAAAAACAGGAATATACACTACTCTAAATGCCTTCCGCTAACTGCGACTCCGGTCGTATTTTTACCGAAAAAGTGAATTTCGCGAACCACTTAAGAATGACTTGCTATTAACAAAATAATAAATATTCAAAGAAGTCCTAAATTGTAAAATAAAATTAAATATTTTTTGTCTGGTACAGTGTTGAGAAATGAGGCTGATTCACTTACCATATTTTATCAGTAAGGTGATTCATACTTCCTATGGTAGGAATATGAAGTAGGCAAGAAATTTTGGATAATTAGAATTTTTTACTTACAATTTTCTAAATTACTTGTGAAAAGCAAAACTATTAGCATTGTTTAAACGTATTATCAAGTAGGTCATGGACTTGTTCATTTTAAATAAATATTTAGTTTTATTTAAAGTAAAAATAAACTAATCATAGTTGTAGTATATTCCCTTCTAACTTACTGGGGCATAACTCAGTGATTTTAGAAGTAAATTCGTTTTTAATACTAAGTTTATTTCGAAACATTTTATATGAAATAAGTCAAAGGACGTGTCGTACTGACAAGTTTTGCAGAAACTCATCACCCGAGTTTGGGAAACTTTTAATTAATATCGTATTTCATTACTTGATACCTATCATAGGAGCTTTGTGTTAATCCTACTTGTGAACCGTTTGACATAAATTCAGAAGGGCTTTGGTTTTGTTCGGTGTAAGTTTCGGTATAAGAAACATGTACGACAATATATTTGTTGCTAGTTCTTTGCGTTTATTACAAAATAAAGTGATATGCGTGGTTTCAAACCTTATATTATGTGTATGTTTCGCAAAGAATATATATATATATATATATATATATATATGTGCTATTTCATTGAAACATTGTAATTAGGTAACTTGAAGAACCTCTCAAGTCTCTCCGATTCAGGTATACCATTGACAAGGAAATTTGACGCCTAATCAACACTTGTCGTCATCGATGTAGGTTTCCGACGTAAGATGATGCATCCTGGGATTAATATAATTACCATTACAACCCATACGCGTATAACTCATTTAATTATAATAGTTTTAATTAGTTTACAATTAATAGTTTTGTTGCGAATTGACCAGGAATCATCCAAAACCGTGTCCTATTGTTGGGACTAGTATATAATGTAATATGGTATTATTCATAATAATAAAGTTATACATTTAAAATTTTGATAAAGCCTGCTTGGCTATAGAAAAATAGTTCGAAAATATTATTGTTCATATTACAATAAGGCCAAATTTATTTTTGCTTTTGTACGAATTTTTGTACTGGTCTTTTGATACCGTTTCATCTAGACGTAAAATCGCCCGCTTTACTTTTGTCGTCGATTTAAAAAGAAGACATTTTTAATAAAATTTCTCATTATTTTACAAACGCTGATCCACACACTAGGACATTCGTGTGTTGTGGGTGTCCAGCCTTGCGATTCTGTAACTCACTTTTTTATTTTTTTTATTTTCGATTTGGCATTCTGATAAGGAGGCCAGTTTATTGCCAAATCGTATAATGACTGCTTCACGACTGATTTGAGCGCGACCGCCGCTGCGAAAACCGCTGTGAGATTTCGAAAAGCGAGTTACAGAATTGCAGGGCAGACTCTTCTTAGGTACAATTTAATACCAAACAGTTAGTAGTAAAAAAACAAATATACAGTGAATGAAACATAAATATATAATAAATATAATTGTGACTTAAATTACAATAATTAATAATCCCAATCAACATTTGGATTAGCTTTTATATTTTTGTTCATATTATTTTTATTTTTTCTTTACATTTTACGTTATTTTAGTTATAGTTAGTGTTACCTGTTATTTTGAGTATTTTTTTTTATTATTTATGCACTTCTTGTACTTTACCCTCTGTAGGTGTTTATTTTTTTATTGTTCCATATTAGGGAAGTCTGGAAGAAATCGCTTGTTAGCCA